GCCTTTTTCACCCCAGAAAACGGAGAAGCAGCTGGAAACCATCGACGAGCTGCACCTGGAGTACGCCAAGCGCGCCGCGCCCTTCAACAACTGGATGGAGAGCGCCATGGAGGACCTGCAGGACATGTTCATCGTGCACACCATCGAGGAGATCCAGGTGAGTTTCAACCCAAAAGTGACAAAAATTAACCCAAAATAACCCAAAAGTTCCAAAATGCCCCCTTGGTCCCAGTCCTGTGCACACCATCGAGGAGATCCAGGTGCAGTTTCAACCCAAAAGTGACAAAAATTAACCCAAAAGTGACAAAAAATAACCCAAAATCATCACAAAATAACCTGAAAGTGTCCTAAAATAACCCAAAATATTCCAAAATAACCCAAAAGTGTCATAAAATAACCCAAAATATTCCAAAATAACCCAAAAGTGTCACAAAATAACCCAAAATATTCCAAAATAACCCAAAAGTGTCACAAAATAACCCAAAATTGTCCCAAAATAACCCAAAAGTGTCACAAAATAACCCAAAAGTTCCAAAATGCCCCCTTGATCCCAGTCCCGTGCACACCATCGAGGAGATCCAGGTGCATTTCAACCCAAAATCGTCCCAAAATAACCCAAAAGTGACAAAAAATAACCCAAAAGTGTCATAAAATAACCCAAAAGTGTCATAAAATAACCCAAAAGTGTCCTAAAATAACCCAAAATATTCCAAAATAACCCAAAAGTGTCACAAAATAACCCAAAAGTTCCAAAATGCCCCCTTGGTACCAGTCCCGTGCACACCATCGAGGAGATACAGGTGAGTTTCAACCCAAAAGTGACAAAAATTAACCCAAAAGTGACCAAAAATAACCCAAAATATTCCCCAAAATAACCCAAAAGTGTCCCAAAATAACCCAAAAGTTCCAAAATGCCCCCTTGGTCCCAGTCCTGTGCACACCATCGAGGAGATCCAGGTGCGTTTCAACCCAAAATCGTCCCAAAATAACCCAAAAGTGACCAAAAATAACCCAAAATCATCACAAAATAACCCAAAATTGTCCCAAAATAACCCAAAAGTGACAAAATGCCCCCTTGGTCCCAGTCCTGTGCACACCATCGAGGAGATCCAGGTGCTGAATAACCCAAAAGTGACAAAAAATAACCCAAAATCATCATAAAATAACCCCAAATCATCCTAAAATAACCCAAAATTGTCCCAAAATAACCCAAAAGTTCCAAAATGCCCCCTTGATCCCAGTCCCGTGCACACCATCGAGGAGATCCAGGTGAGTTTCAACCCAAAATCGTCCCAAAATAACCCAAAAGTGTCACAAAATAACCCAAAAGTGACACAAAATAACTCAAAAATCATCCTAAAATAACCCAAAAGTGTCCCAAAATAACCCAAAAGTGTCACAAAATAACCCAAAAGTGTCATAAAATAACCCAAAAGTGTCACAAAATAACCCAAAATAACCCAAAATAACCCAAAAGTTTCAAAATGCCCCCTTGATCCCAGTCCCGTGCACACCATCGAGGAGATCCAGGTGCGTTTCAACCCAAAAGTGATAAAAAATAACCCAAAATAACCCAAAAGAACCCAAAAGTGTCACAAAATAACCCAAAATCATCACAAAATAACCCTAAAGTGTCCCAAAATAACCCAAAAGTGTCACAAAATAACCCAAAATCATCCTAAAATAACCCAAAATTGTCCCAAAATAACCCAAAAGTGTCCCAAAATAACCCAAAATCATCCCAAAATAACCCAAAAGTTCCAAAATAACCCCAAAGTGACACAAAATAACCCAAAATAACCCAAAATGCCCCAAAATCGTCTGAAAATAACCCAAAAGTGTCACGCCCCAAAATCGTCTGAAAATAACCCAAAAGTGTCACAAAATAATCCAAAAGTGACCAAAAATAACCCAAAAGTGTCCCAAAATAACCCAAAATAACCCAAAATAACCCAAAATGCCCCCTTGATCCCAGTCCTGTGCACACCATCGAGGAGATCCAGGTGCTGAATAACCCAAAAGTGACAAAAAATAACCCAAAAGTGTCATAAAATAACCCAAAATCATCACAAAATAACCTGAAAGTGACAAAAAATAACCCAAAATCCTGGAATTCCATGGGAATATCGAGCTCCCATCCCAAAAATAATCCCAAAAAAATCCCAAATCCCCATTTTAAAGCATTTCCTCACCCATTTTTTACCGGAAAATTGGGAATTGAACATGTCCCGTCCGGAATCCCACGGGAATTTTTACCAGAAAATTGGGAATTGAACATGTCCCGTCCGGAATCCCACGGGAATTTTTACCAGAAATTTGGGAATTGAACATGTCTCGTCCGGAATCCCATGGGAATTTTTACCAGAAAATTGGGAATTAATCAGTTCCCGTCCAGAATTCCTGGAATCCCATGGGAATTTTTACTGGAAAATTGGGAATTAAGGAGCTCCCAGCCAGAATCCCATGGGAATTTTTAACAGAAAATTGGGAATTAATCAGTTCCCAGCTGGAATTCCCTGGGAATTTTTACTGGAAAATTGGGAATGGAACATCTCCCGTCCGGAATTCCTGGAATCCCACGGGAATTTTTAATGGAAAATTGGGAATTAAGGAGCTCCCGACCGGAATTCCCTGGGAATTTTTAATGGAAAATTGGGAATGGAACATCTCCCGTCCGGAATTCCTGGAATCCATGGGAATTTTTACCAGAAAATTGGGAATTAATCAGTTCCCAGCCGGAATCCATGGGAATTTTTACCAGAAAATTGGGAATTGAACATCTCCCAGCTGGAATCCCATGGGAATTTTTACTGGAAAATTGGGAATTAATCAGTTCCCAGCTGGAATTCCCTGGGAATTTTTACCGGAAAATTGGGAATGGAACATCTCCCAGCTGGAATCCCATGGGAATTTTTACCAGAAAATTGGGAATTAATCAGTTCCCGTCCAGAATTCCTGGAATCCCATGGGAATTTTTGCTGGAAAATTGGGAATTAATCAGTTCCCAGCTGGAATCCGTGGGAATTTTTACTGGAAAATTGGGAATTAAGGAGCTCACAGCCAGAATCCCATGGGAATTTTTACCAGAAAATTGGGAATTAATCAGTTCCCAGCTGGAATTCCTGGGAATTTTTACCGGAAAATTGGGAATTAATCAGTTCCCAGCTGGAATTCCTCGAATCCCATGGGAATTTTGACCGGAAAATTGGGAATTAAGGAGCTCCCAGCCGGAATCCATGGGAATTTTTACCAGAAAATTGGGAATTGAACATCTCCCGTCCGGAATTCCTGGAATCCCATGGGAATTTTTACCGGAAAATTGGGAATTGAACATCTCCCAGCTGGAATTCCTGGAATCCCATGGGAATTTTTACCAGAAAATTGGGAATTGAACATCTCCCAGCTGGAATCCCATGGGAATTTTTACTGGAAAATTGGGAATTAATCAGTTCCCAGCTGGAATTCCCTGGGAATTTTTACCAGAAAATTGGGAATTAATCAGTTGCCGTCCAGAATCGCTGGAATCCCACAGGAATTTTTACCGGAAAATTGGGAATTAAGGAGTTCCCAGCTGGAATCCCTGGGAATTTTTACTGGAAAATTGGGAATTGAACATCTCCCAGCTGGAATTCCTGGAATCCCATGGGAATTTTTACCAGAAAATCGGGAATTGAACATCTCCCAGCTGGAATCCCATGGGAATTTTGACCGGAAAATTGGGAATTAAGGAGCTCCCAGCCGGAATCCATGGGAATTTTTACCAGAAAATTGGGAATTAATCAGTTCCCAGCTGGAATCCCTGGAACCCCACGGGAATTTCCCCTTGCCAGGGCCTGATCTCCGCCCACGAGCAGTTCAAGTCGACGCTGCCGGACGCGGACAAGGAGCGGGAGGCGATCCTGGGGATCCAGCGGGAAGCGCAGCGGATCGCGGAGCTCCACGGGATCCAAGTGCCCGGGAGCAACCCCTACACCTCCGTCACCGCCCACATCATCAACTCCAAGTGGGAGCGGGTACGGGGCCGCAACTCCCGCTTTGCCCCCTCTCCTTTCCCCTTTTTATCCCCTTTTCATCCTGGTTTTATCCTGCTTTCATCCCCTTTTTATCCCAGTTTTATCCTGCTTTTATCCCCTTTTTATCCCGGTTTTATCCCCTTTTTATCCCGGTTTTATCCCCATTTTATCCCCTTTTTATCCCCTTTTTAGCCTGCTTTTATCCCCATTTTATCCCCTTTTTATCCCCTTTTTATCCTGCTTTTTATCCTGGTTTTATCGCCTTTTTATCCCGGTTTTATCCCCATTTTATCCCCTTTTTATCCCCTTTTTATCCTGCTTTTATCCCCATTTTATCGCCTTTTTATCCCCTTTTTATCCCCTTTTTATCCTGGTTTTATCCCCTTTTTATCCCCTTTTTATCCTGGTTTTATCCCCTTTTTATCCCATTTTTGTCCTGCTTTTATCCCATTTTTATCCCATTTTTATCTCCTTTTCATCCCATTTTTATCCTGGTTCTTATCCCCTTTTTATCCTGCTTTTATCCCCTTTTTATCCCCTTTTCATCCCCTTTTTATCCTGGTTTTATCCCCTTTTTATCCCATTTTTATCCCATTTTTATCCCCTTTTTATCTTGCTATTATCCCTATTTTATCCCCTTTTCATCCCCTTTTCATCCTGTTTTTATCCTCTTTTTATCCCATATTTATCCCTTTTTTATCCCCTTTTTATCCCCTTTTTATCCCCATTTTATCCCCTTTTTGTCCCCTTTTTATCCCCTTTTTATCCGCTTTTTATCCCATTTTTATCCCCTTTTTGTCCAATTTTTATCCCCTTTTTATCCCCTTTTTATCCCATTTTCCTCCCATTTTTCTCCCCATTTTTCTCCCCAATTTTTCCTGGATTTCCCCACCCAGATCCTCCTTTCCCACCCGGATTTTCCCCATCCCATTCCTCCTTTCCCGCCCGGATTTTTCCCTCTGGGGTTTTTCCGGCGGCGCATCCCGGTGTTCCCGGGTCCCTTTCCAGGTGCAGCAGCTGGTGCCCAAGCGGGACCAGGCGCTGACGGAGGAGCAGAGCCGGCAGAATTCCAACGAGCGCCTGCGGCGGCAGTTCGGCAGCCAGGCCAACCGCGTGGGGCCCTGGATCCAGACCAAGATGGAGGTCGGGGAATGGGGCCGGGAATGAAAATACCGGGAATGGGGCCGGGAATGGGACCGGGAAAATACCGGGAATGGGGCCGGGAATGGGGCCGGGAAAATACCGGGAATGGGGCCGGGAATGGGGCCGGGAATGCCGGGAAAATACTGGGAATAATGCCGGGAAAATACCGGCAAAATACCGGCAAAATACTGGGAATGGGGCTGGGAAAATACCGGGAAAATACCGGGAATAATGCCAGGAAAATACCAGGAAAATACCGGGAATGAGGCCGGGAATGGGGCCGGGAAAATGCCGGGAAAATACCGGGAAAATACCGGGAATGAGGCCGGGAATGCTGGGAATACCAGGAATGAGACCGGGAATACCAGGAATGAGACCGGGAATACCAGGAATGAGACTGGAATGAGGCTGGGAATACCAGGAATACCAGGAATGAGGCCGGGAATGCCAGGAATGGGGCCGGGAATGGCGGGAATGGGGCCGGGAATGCCGGGAATGGCGGGAATGGGGCCAGGAGAAGGCCGGTTTGGGGTCAGGAATGGGGTGGGAAAGGGTTGGCTCAGGGATTTCCGGGCGTTCTCCTGGAAAATGAGTGGGAATATGGGTGGGAATCCCGGGATTTGGGGTTCCTCAGGGATTTCCAGGTGTTCTCCTGGAGATCTGGGATGGAAATCCCGGGATTTGGGGATCCTCAGGGATTTCTGGGCGTTCTGGAATTCCCGTTTGGGTGATCCAGGATGGGGATCTGGAAGTTTCCGTGCCCACAGGAGATCGGGCGGATCTCCATCGAGATGAACGGCACGCTGGAGGATCCTGGGATTTGGGGATCCTCAGGGATTTCTGGGTGTTCTGGAACTCCCGTTTGGGTGATCCATGATGGGGATCTGGGGGTTTCCTTGGCTGCAGGAGATCGGGCGGATCTCCATCGAGATGAACGGCACGCTGGAGGATCCCGGGATCTGGGGATCCTCAGGGATTTCTGGGTGTTCTCCTGGAGATCTGGGATGGAAATCCCGGGATTTGGGGATCCTCAGGGATTTCCGGGTGTTCTCCTGGAGATCTGGGATGGAAATCCCGGGATTTGGGGATCCTCAGGGATTTCTGGGTGTTCTGGAATTCCCGTTTGGGTGATCCAGGATGGGGATCTGGGTTGGGTGATCCAGGATGGGGATCTGGGGGTTTCCGTGCCCGCAGGAGATCGGGCGGATCTCCATCGAGATGAACGGCACGCTGGAGGATCCCGGGATCTGGGGATCCTCAGGGATTTCTGGGTGTTCTCCTGGAGATCTGGGATGGAAATCCCGGGATTTGGGGATCCTCAGGGATTTCTGGGTGTTCTGGAATTCCCGTTTGGGTGATCCAGGATGGGGATCTGGAAGTTTCCATGCCCACAGGAGATCGGGCGGATCTCCATCGAGATGAACGGGATCTGGGGATCCTCAGGGATATCCGGGTGTTCTCCTGGAGATCTGGGGTGGGAATCCCGGGATTTGGGGTTCCTCAGGGATTTCTGGGTGTTCTGGAATTCCCATCTGGGTGATCCAGGATGGGGATCTGGGTTGGGTGATCCAGGATGGGGATCTGGAAGTTTCCGTGCCCGCAGGAGATCGGGCGGATCCCGGGATCTGGGGTTGTCCTGGTGGGGTTGGTCAGGGATTTCTGGAAGTTTCCGTGCCCGCAGGAGATCGGGCGGATCTCCATCGAGATGAACGGCACGCTGGAGGATCAGCTGAGCCACCTGAAGGAGTACGAGGAGAACATCGTGGAGTACAAACCCAACCTGGAGCTGCTGGAGCAGCAGCACCAGCTGGTGCAGGAGGCGCTCATCTTCGACAACCAGCACTCCAACTACACCATGGAGGTGGGATCCGGGGGGATCCCGGGATCTGGGGGGATCCCATGGGGGCTGGGTCCCATCCTGGGGGGATCAGGGGTGATCCTGGAGAGGCTGGATCCATCCTGGGGGTGCTGGATCCCATCCCTTGGGTGCCGGATCCCATCCCATGGGGATCAGGGTGATCCTGGGGGTGCTGGATCCATCCCGTGTGGATCTGGGTGATCCCATGGGGGCTGGATCCCATCCTGGGGGGATCAGGGTGATCCTGGGGGTGCTGGATCCTGTCCCGGGGGTACCGGATCCCATCCCGTGGGTACCGGATCCCGTCCCAGGGGGGATCAGGGTGATCCCGGGGGTGCCGGATCCCATCCTGTGGGTGCCGGATCCCGTCCCGGGGGTGCCGGATCCATCCCGGGGGTACCGAATCCCATCCTGTGGGTGCCAGATCCCGTCCCGGGGGGGATCAGGTTGATCCCGGGGGTGCCGGATCCCATCCTGTGGGTACCGGATCCCATCCTGTGGGTGCCAGATCCCGTCCCGG